AAGAGGCACAAATCTAGTGTGAGCTCTGACACGCCCTATATATATATATATATATATATGCTTGTTATTAAAACTGAATAGAATAGTACTTTAGCTTAGTATCATATTTAAACTGAACTGAAGGCTTTGAAACATATTTGGTGTAAAAAACATAACTGTGCCCCTCCGAATGGCCTTAAGCTCCATCTTTGAACTGATGTGTATTGTTGTGTTCTCCTAGGATCATTGCACTGTTGTTGGTCTCAACATAGAACTAAAGAGCTGCAGCCATGTCCCACGGTCTGTGTGTACATCTTAGAATGCCATTGTGAAATTTTAAACCATGCTCACTTAATAAAGACCATGTGGGAAGTTATGTCTTGTCTTTTTCATGTGATGTAATTTGTCCCCAATTTAAAAAAACAAAATAAAACTTTAGACACGTGATAAAAAGCCATTACAATGAAAATGTTATAGCCCTTTTAGAACAATTTAAAAAGGGCCAGGAATGAATTTGTATTGGGAAGAATAAAGTAGGTGGCATGATGACTCCACTATTAAAAATGAAAACTGATAAAATACTAGAGGTAGATATAACTGAAACTGTATTGTAAATACTGTTATTGTTCCAGCAGATAAAGACTTTAAAATGACTTGATAAGAGGATGGAGCTAATTTTTTGTATGAAAATAACCTGCTGAGTAACTCATAAATGTAGTGCAGTCAAGTTTGAAATGGTGAAGCAGAAGTATAAACGGAAATACTCAAGTACAAGAACCTCAGAATCCTACTTGAGTACAGTACTTGAGTAAATGTACTTATTAAGTAAATGTAATAAACTGAACACTACATTATTTTTGAGGGTCTTTTTGAAAACAAGATGCTGGGATCTTCACAGGTCAGATTCTCAGTCTTAATATTTTTATAGATTTAAACTGATGATCATGCCCCTAAAATGCAAGCAGATTAGCAGCAAAGTTTACTCCATATAATAAGAGGTGGAAAGAGACGTAAGCAAACTTTATTATTAGATGGTTGCACAAAGATGGACGGTTATCACCATGACAGAAGGTGCTGAGGGAGCAGAGGCTGTTGGCTGAGGGCCAGAGGTGGCACAGAGTTAAATGATCCCAGAAAGGCGGGTAGTGGTTAAGCTGCATTCTGCAAATGGTTTTGAAAGTTGTATTGCAAATACAGCAGCTTCACATAGCAGAATGAAGCTCTGAGGTGGCAGGTCCGAGCCTTGTACCGCCTCAGCCACAGTCCAGCTGCCTCTTTACTTCCACCGGCCCTTCTCATAGTCCCACTTAGAAGATAAGCCCTCGATGGGGCCGATCCTCATGTCCAACATCCTCTTTACTTGCTTGGCCTGCCACTCCTCATCAAATGACCTGGGAGGTGTGGGGTAGACTACAGGAAACAAGGAATATAAACATAATGTGTCAATGTACTCTATAATGCAGTCAATATAAACAAACATCTGAACAAAGAGCTCCCAGTCATTACACCAATACATCATGTAGTCCCTTTAGATGACAGTTCCAGGGATCTGGTGTTGTGCATGCTGGCTAACTGGTATAGCTTACTGGGATACTTAAAAGAACAGAGCTGCCATTAATGTTATTTTTCAGTGGTACCTCTTCTGCCATGGCAAGTCAGAATGTTTGCTGTCAAACAGGTCCGAACACACTGTGCACCATGATGCTGAGGCAAACAATTCCCATTGTAGTTATTTGCATTATTAATATGGATTTTAAGACATGGGTTTGTCAGATTTACCATAGGCTCTCTGCCACCAGACCACCAGGCCGGTGAATCCCAAAAAGAAGAGGATACCACCCATGACCGTCTTCCACTCTCCTGTTGGCCGCCTCATCTCTGGGTACGTTCGACAGAACATTAGCCGATACACTGAGTGGGGTGATGAGAAGGACAGGGTGAGATCAGGATTAGGAGGAGAAATGATGGAAGTGTAGCATTAATACAATATACAGATATCTCCTTTCTGTTGTTCTGTACCACTATATATGATTGCACATTTATTTATAGCTACTTATTTCAGGTTTGTCATGTGTGTTTTGCGCCACCTAAACAGCCCAACAGGCTGAGCCCGAGTAAAGAACCTTCCCCTAAACCTACAGGCAATCTTCTCCTCTTTGGTCAGCTGGCTCCAGGGTCCTTTCTCCTTCTGTTTCAGGCTCTTATCAGCAGCAGTCAGCTCATTTTTGTAGGGTATGTCAGGCAGAGGGACGATCACACTCTCCCAGTACGTTGGTTGAGACATGTCCACAGTCTCAGACAACTCTGGAGGGACAAACACAGAACCTTTCAACCAACTGCTGCAATGATATACAGCTCAGAACAACATCTCTCAGGTCTGACATGGGATCAAACACAATAGCCCTGTGTGGATGTCTCATCATGATGGTACAACAGAGCCATCTGCTGGTTTGACGCCACTTTAGCTGGAGACCTCCCACACTAGCAATTCTGATTAATGGGAAAAGGCACATATGTTTAAAATATTGGGAATTGCCGTTTAAATTAGATTTTGTAATATGCACGTTAATGCATCAATGCTATACAACATACATTATTCTGCAATGGGCCATTCTACATATTTGAGTAGGCTACTTTTAGCACTGCAAGTACATTTTTATGCTAATACTTTCACTATACTATTTAAGTAAAAGTTTAAAATACAAGAATTACTTGTAACAGCAAATGTTTACACTGTGGTATTGCTAGATTACAAGCTAAAACATTTGTACTGGTAATATACCCGACATTCCTAACTGGGCCATAGAATCTAATGGGTCACAGAATTTGTTGCAACACCCATCCCCAGTTTGGTGCGTCTACAACGTCGAGTAGGACATTTTAGAGGTAACCAGTGATTACTCTAAAATACCCCTGTTGTTCTGAAAGTGTCTTGAACCCCCACACACTCTGGATAGTCACATGTTAAGCTCACTAAATACAAAACGGTGACATTACTAAGTGAGGCGCTCACTCACCTCCGGTACCGTGGCCGTGAGTCGCCATCCTCGCGCTGCTGCTGGTCAAGGCCGTTGTCGCGCGCCTGGCCAGGAGGCTTCCCACGCGCATTGCTGTCAGGTGGAGCATCTGGAAACAGGCAAGCAGCGACACAAATATACAGCTTTATTTCATTTCGACAACACAGGCGATGCTTTATTCACTACATTGCCTAATTCCCACCGCCTAACATTCATAAAATTGCTATTAGCTAAAGACAGATTAATAAAACAACATTTTATTGTCCAAAATAGATGGAAGACAATAACCAGCGCTGCATACAGTCAAATGCTTCGATAACGTTAACCTTCATTGGCAGGATAAAAGAGCTATGACCTACTTTTAGATGTGGCTGACTAAATTTAGTGTTGAAAATTTCCAAAAGCATAAAAAGATATTTTTAGTCTGACATATTTTTTTTATTGTTTTATGAGCGAAGTTTTAAAATGTGGATTGACTTTTGAACAAACTCTCTTTAAATATTTTTGTTGTGACTAATTACGTTATAGAATTCATCTGGTGCAATTAGGTGACACTTCAGGTGGTGTCGGAAATAATATTATCACGTAGCCTAATATTGTAGCTTGTAGGCTAGCACACTCCTCTCGGGGTACTAAAATAAAACACGAATCTACTGCGAAAACCACTGTGCAGTCGATGTGGTCATTATACTGACTAACAGTTTTGTTTCAGCCTTTCTGTGTGGAGTCTGTCATGTTCTCCCTGTGCCTGTGTGGGTTCTCTCTGGGTACTCCAGCTTCCTCCCACAGTCCAAAGACATGCAGCCTAGGTTGATTGGTGACTAAACTGACTGTAGGTGTGAGTGTGAGTGGTTGTTTGTCTACATGACAGCTCTGTGATAGACTGGTGACCTGTCCAGGGTGGACCCCACCTCTCACCCAGTGTCAGCTGGGATTTGCTCCAGCACCTCCGCAACCTTATTCAGGAATAAGCGATATAGATAATGGATGGATGGACTTTTTGCAGCTGGTAAACATGGAGCTACAGTATGTTAACTATCATATATAGGCCTACTTATAATATGAAGTACAAACCTGCCTCTGAAATGTAGTGAAAACCAAATGTGAAAATGAAAATACTCAAGTAAAGTACAGGTATGTTCTAGTACTTCTATGCAGAAGTAACTTGGTTTATACTTGTCTTGCCCACTCCGCTCACAAGACTTTTTTTTTCTAACAAAATAATGTATTAGGTGATGGTTTAAGGATCTCCTTGAATGGGCATAAAATCCAGGTGCGTTCATATGAGCTTGCCTGACATCCACTGGTGCCCCCACCATATTGGCAAAATGTTATACTGCCTTGCTTGTTGTGTGCATTTTCAGTAAGGCTTATTTAAAAAAAAAAGAAAAAAAAAAGACATTCACGGTGCCGTTGTAAAAGCAGATTTTTTTTTGACTGCACAATACATATTGTGGATATATTTTACCTCCTGCTGCTGCACTGTGACCAGAGGATATGGAGAAGAATACAGGGCCTGAGGTTACTGCATGTCCAGGAATCTTCCTGTACAGGGACTCACTGTTCTACCTGACTGGGCCTAACCTACAGTCGTGGCCAAAAATATTGGCACAGCTGCATTTCCGTCAGATAACGCACCGTTTCTCCCAGAAAATTGTTTGATTGCTACAGGTCACTCTCATTACAAATTAAAGGAGCATCACATGCTGGAAATACAACTATTTCTGATGATTCTGAAAAGGATTCAATAATTCTGTCCAGTCCATTTTTGGAGTTCAAATTTGTTTGTTTTTTCTTTTTTTCAGTTTTTTTTGTGTTGTTCCAATGCAAACAAAATAAATAAACATGAGAATGCCAAAGAATTTGTGTTTCTGGGCGAAATGGTGCATTATCTGACAGAAAGGCAGTGGTGCCAATATTTTTGACCATGACATAAAAGCAGCCAGCCTGTGAAGCCCCCGCTGCTGATCAGCTCATGAAGGCTGGATTCCCCCGGAGCACAGTACCTGTTTGTTTTAACTGCTTGAGGGCAGTGTGTCTGCTGCATGTGATGTGTTGCTTGTTAACCAGCAGACTAATGACTCATGATGTTAATGTTGATGCTACACTACCTGCTGGAATTAGTTTCACTGCTTTGGGACTGAGTGTGGTCATGTGGGGGAAGACGCAGCAGCCACGGGTTGGATTTACCAACCTTGGAGCTAGTTGAAAGGGTAAGTTTAAAAAAAACACGTTGCATGTTTGTTAATGCCTTGTTTCTGTAACATTAGAGAGGATTGTTATAGGGCTGGATAAGTTACTATGTCTGCATTATGCCAGTTAAAATATGGGGTTTCTCAGTTACCTGCTTTGTTTAGAGTGTTACACATGTCTTTTCATCGGTACATAAACCGTTGTTTACCTGTCTTTGGATGAGAAATTCATATTAATTAATGCTGTTGCCATTTGTTTTGCTGTCCACTTGCTGGTGTTGTGTGCGTTCACGGACTACCTTTTTTGTTTTTAGGAAAATGCTCTCTGGCTTTATTATTCTGAAATAATTACAGATTATTTGGGGTTATGATGGGTGCAAAAATAATCTAGTGGTACCCAAGATTAAGCATTAAATGGCTGGAAATGAGCAAAATCAGCATGCCATGGGCACTTTAAGTGTTTTGTAAAGGTGGCCCGTGTGAATGCCAAATCCCTTCTTTGCCAGATTGGCCACCTCTTTATTTTTTACTGTTAAGCACATGGCAGATGTCACTTATATGAAAAAGCAGTCACTAGGTGATGTTTGATCTGTGAAAACAAGGGAGTCTCAGTGATAGTTAGCAGGTGATTTTTGCAGGGATATTGATTCTGTCCTTTACTGACATTATAGTGTAGTTCAGCAAAAACTGCAAAATTAGAAAATCAAAAGTGTGTCCTAGATGTAAGTGTTGGATTAATTTGTGGGTCACTCTTATCCAAAATACTTGAACTCCTCCACTTGAGGCAGGAACTCTTCACCAACCTGAAGGGAACAAGCCACCCTTTTCCAACTGAGAACCATGGCCTCGGATTTGGAGGTGCTGATTCTCATCCCAGCCGCTTCACACTCGGCTGCAAACCGCCCCAGTGCACGCTGGAGGTCCTGGTTTGAAGGGGCCAACAGGACAACGTTGTCTGCAAAAAGCAGAGACGAGATCCTGTGGTCCCCAAACCGGACTCCCTCCGGCCCCTGTCTGCACCTAGAAATTCTGTCCATAAAAATAATGAACAGAACCGGTGACAAAGGGCAGCCCTGCCAGAGTCCAACATGCACTGGAAACAAGTCTGACTTACTGCCGGCGATGCAAACCAAACTCCTGCTCCGGTCGTACAGGGACCGGATGGCACCCCCAACAGGGTGCTGCGAGAGACACGGTCAAATGCCTTCTCCAGATCCACGAAACACATGTGGACTGGTTGGGCAGACTCCCATGAACCCTCCGCCACCCTGAAGAGGGTATAGAGCTGGTCCAGTGTTCCACGGCCAGGACGAAAACCGCATTATTCCTCCTGAATCCGAAGTTTGACTATCGGTCGAATTCTCCTCTCCAGTACCCTGGCATAGACTTTCCCAGGGAGGCTGAGGTATTCCCTATAGTTGGAATACACCCTCCGGTCCCCCTTCTTAAAAAGAGAGACCACCACCCCGGTCTGCCAGTCCAGAGGCACTGTCCCCGACCGCCATGCGACGTTGCAGAGGCGTGTCAGGCAAGACACACCAACAACATCCAGA